TTTGAGGAGTTTGAGATGTCTAGAAACAAAATGTCCCAAGTGAGACCCGACTTCGGGGAGAAAAATTGATGACTTTGTTTTAGACACTTTGTTCTCCTATCTTCATTCTGTCACCTTATTGTCAACAGCATCTGCTTCCCCAGGATATCTCAGCTGCACTTTTTGGGAGTGTTTCTTTCCCTCTCATGTTTGGTCTAGGCCTGTTGTTTCTTCTTCAGGGGCCTGTAGAGTTAGCCCACCGTCTCTGTCTTCACAGCCACATCTGTGGCTGTGGCTCACTTCTCTGAAAGATCAGAGTCATTTGCTAGCTCCATTGAAGGTTGCAACCAGCTGTGGCCAGAATGCCTATTTGTTCTGACAACGACCATGTTGGTCCATCAGTGTCTCACATTCTGTGTAATTGCTAGAGTTATCAACATTTAATCAGAGGGATTTATATAATATGGATTTCCAGTTTCTCTTCAAAGATCAGAAGGTCTCATGACACCAGATCCTTGGCCCCTTCAGGGTAACAGTGGTCAGAGATATGCATTGGGACATTCTTTAGGCAGGGCTGGCCCCTCTAGTAGGCAACATTCTCTACCCATCTGGTTCACTTCACTTTTGACATAACTGAACATCCCCGTGAGATATTTCATTTTGTGACTCCTAGGTCAGAGAGTATCAGTGGTAATGTGATCACAGTCTATATAATTGCTGTATCAAATGTAGTGACATCACAGATTCACTAATCACCTGTCCCTTGAGCCCTAGGCTGCCTGCGCCAGACTAGATTAGTGCCGTCGACTGAATGTTGGTGTCCCCACCCCCAAAGTCCTGTGTTGGAAGCTAATCCGCCATGTGAGGGTATTGGAAGGTGGAGTCTTTGGGGGTTATTTGCATGATTAGGTCATGAGAACAGGACTCTCATGAATGTGATTCATGCCCTTATAGAAGAGACTTCAGGGAGCTCCCTGGCCCCTTGCACCACGTGAGGACACAGTGATAAGATGGCTATCCATGAATCAGAAAGTGGGCTCTCACAGAACCAAATCTGGTAGCACCTTAATCTTGGACTTCTCAGCCCCTAGAACTGTGAGAAATCAATTCCTGCCTTTAGAAGCCACCCACTCTGTGGCAGCCGGAACAGTTTAAGATGGTTACCCAGCCCTCTTTGGGGCCCACACAGGACTCTGTCCATGTCTCCAATCCAGCTCTAATGGGAGGGTCATTGAAGGCTTACTTCTCTGTCTTCTCCAGACTTTGAGTTCTCTGAGGGAAAATCTGATAATCTTTTCTCTAATATGTACCTGGCACACAATAGTTCACTATAGGTTTACGTAACAAATAAAAAACAATGATGTCTGATCTCTACTCAACTCGCAGTCCCTCGTGGTCAAGGATGTATGTTTGATTCAACTTTGCATTCCAGCACCAAGTGCAGGACCTGCTATAAGGTAGATGCTGAACAGAGCTTTGAAAGAATGAATAAATTGATGATACAAAAGAGAATTTGTCATTAAAGTCACATGGGGGAACACTAGCTCCTATAATGAGGAGACACTGTTAGACCTAGCTCTGTTGAGGCTGAACAGCTCCAGAAGCAGGGGTCAGCCACACAAGACAGTGTTTGGTTTCACTTCCTTCTACAAGTTGTGTTGAATTATTATGGGAAGCAATTGTTCTCCCCACCTCCACCTGCCCACCCACAACCTCACTCCTCAAAGGCAACACATCGCATCTTTGCTGTCCCATACTCCCTCCCCCCCACTCTTCATACTCAAGCCCCGGTGTCCTTCTTTCAGTCTTTCGTATCCTTCATGTCTCCTCCCCTAGAGTTACCCTCTGTGGGGTTGGCAGGTTGGCTGGGATCCAGGCAGCTCCCAAAGATTTCCCAAACCCCACTGTCAAAGCAGAGTGGCCTGGAAGTGGCATAGAGCTGCCGGACCTGGAAGGGCTTGGCCAAGGGTAATGAGAAATGACTCCTCAATGGTGACCAACCAGGACCAAACGATTTCAGCAGAGGTCACAGCTTCCATTGGACTTAAGGGGAGTGGCAGGCCCCAGCGGACCGGGCACACTCCACTCCCAGCTCAGCTCTCTCCACAACCTCCTTCCCTCCATTCAGAAGGGATAGTTCAAAAAGTTTTTTTCAAATAACAAGTAACTATAAAATAATATCTTAAAAAAATATACGGCATAAAAAAATGTTGCAGTGGGATCCTCGTGGTCATTCCCACCCCCTCATCCCCATGGACTCTCTCCCAATTCCATGCCCTTCCTTCTACCTTACAGGAAGCCACTTTCCAAAGTTTTGGTTTACGGTTCCTTTCTCGTTATGGTTTTACCCTGTGTGTTTGTATGAACCAGACCATATTGTTTGCATTCCTAAAGAATATTTTGTGTACTTCAGCATATTTTTAAATTCTAGACAAATGCAATCACTCTGCATTTGTTTGTTTGAGATTGTTTAGATTGAACTGTTGTTATGTGTGGCTGGGATTCTTTCATTTTTTTCCTGCTGTAAAATGTTCTTCTATGCACACATACTTTAAAAAAATCACTCTTCTGCTTATTGGATAGGTTATTTCTGCTTCCTGCTAGCTGTTGTATCTTGCCAAAAACACGTGTTACTTATAAAAAAGAATGAAGTGGAGAAAATGGACGCAACCCCAGCAAAGTAATCAAAATGAACATCGCTGATAAAGGCAGACATTTATCTGCAGTTATGGCAGTTCCTCCCATGTGACACCTGAGAAGGATGCAATATTACTTCTGTGGTGTTCAAGTCAAAAGCACTTAATATGTATCTAATCATGAGGAAAGATCAGAGAAACACCAATGAATAAATAGACTTCTAAAAATAGACTTTATTTATTAGAGCAATTTTAGATTTGCAGCAAGATTGAGTACAAGGTACAGAGATTTTCCATATACTGCCCAGCCCCCCGTGGTTCACAACCCTCTGGGGAGCTTCCTGGGTGAAATCTGACACTGAATGCAAGGGGAGGGGGCAGGGAGAGATGGAAGAAAGAGGCGGGCCACTCCAGGTGGGTGGATAGTTTTAATAGCAAAAGGAACTTACACGCAAAGGCTTGTCTTGGGCAGCAGCATCAGCATCAGCATTGGATCCCTGCACCTGCCCGCTACATCTTAAGTTTATAAAGAGGCCTTACATGGGCTTAGTCAAGTATAGTGTGCAGGTGTTCTCAACACCACATCACTATCTCAAGGCTGTGTCCTTGGAGTAGCTTGTGGGAGCAGGAAAGGCATGGGGAACCCACATTCCAAAGACAAGTGAGTGGGTGAGTCACCTTCCGTGTTCAACTCACAGGTTGATAGGCAGTCATGTCTTTTTGATGACCTCCCCCAACACCCATGCCTCCACATATGCACAGCCTTCTCCAATATCAAAATTCTGCACCAGAGTGGCACATTTGTCACAATCAGTGAAGCTACATTAACACCTCATCACCCAAAGTCCACAGCTTACATTAGGGCTCACTCTTGGTGTTGTACATTGCATGGGTTTTGACAATTGTATGATGACGCTTATCCACCATTATAGTTTTGCTGCCCTAAACATTGTTCTGTGCCCATTGATCCGTGTCCCCCCAATGCCTGGCAACCACTGATCCTTTCACTGCCCGCCTTCATAGTTTTGCCTTTTCCAGAAGGTCATACAGTTGTAATCATATAGTATGTAGCCTTTTCATATTGGCTTCTTTCACTTAGTAAAATGCGTTTACATTTCCTCCATGTCTGTTTGTGGCAGGATAGCTCATTTGTTGTTAATGCTGAATAATGTTCCATTGTCTGGATAAATTATACAGTTTCTTTATCCATTCACTTATTGAAGGACATCTTGTTTGCTTCCAAGTCTTGGTGGTTATGAATAAAACTGCTGTCAACATTTGTGTACAGGTCTTTGTGTGGACATAAATTTTTCACTCATGTCAGTAAATACTAACAAGCGCAATTGATTGCTGGACGGTGTGGTAAGAGTATGTTCAGTTTGGTAAGAAACTGCCAAACTGTCTTCCAAAGTGGCTGTGCCATTTTGCATTCTCACAGCAATGGACAAGAGTTCCTGCTGCTCCACATCCTTGTCAGCATTTGGTGTTGTCGGTATTTTGGATTTTGGCCATTCTAATAGTTGTTTGCGGCTCGCATTGTTGTTTTGGCCTGTATTCTTGAAAAATGTCAATGGCATAATGAGAAAAGCTGAAGAAAAGAAAAGCCAAAAGATTAGAGACCACTACATTGTGGAGACAAATAGATACAATACATAATTCTGGACTACACTCTGTTCATGGAGGGAAAAAACATAAAAGACATTATTAGGACAGTTGACAAGACTGGAATAGGGAACGTAGATTAAATTATTCTATTAATATGAAATTTCCTGGATTTGATTATTGTCTAATTTTGTTTTTAGGACCTACAAACTGAAAGATTAAGGGTCAAGTAGGCTTAATGTACGCAACCTGCTTGCAAATGATTCAGGAAAAAATTATATAGGTAAATTTAAAGAAAGGAAATGTGGCATAATATTAGCAATTTGGAATGTGGATCATGGATACATAAGAGTTGTTTGTACTATCCTTGCAACTTTTCTGCAAATTATTTAAAAAATAAAAAGTTTAAAGAATTAGAAAAATAATAGTTCTGCCTTTAACATTCCATCCATATCTTTTGATGCACACACACATTTCTCGATCAATATTCTGAAGAGTGGAATCGCGGGCTCAAGGTGTGTGCATCTTCAACTTGATCAGCTAAATAGCTTACAAAGTGCCACTGACATCCTTATTAATTTTATTTATTCTTCCTCTCACTGAAATGTAAGGTCATTAGCAGTGTTATCAAAGTGTAGGCCTTGGGCCCTCAGCATCAGCCTCACCAGGGTGCTGGTTAGAACTGCAAATCCTCAGACCCTCACTCCAGACTTGCTGAGTCAAAAACGCTGAGAGCACGGCCTAGAAATCTGCGTTTTCACAAGTCGTCTAAGTGATGAGAAAGTTTAAGTCGCGCTGTGATCCGTTAGGGCCGCGCCTGGCTTGCAGGCCGCCAGCTCCAAACAGATGAACAGGGGAGCCCGGGAGCCCGGGGGCCCGGGTTAGACGACGCAGAACCAGAGGGCAGCGCGCCATCCCCAGGGCACCGTCCCTGCGCCGGCAGCTTGTCCCGGACCCCCCGGCTGGGTGGGGAAGGGCTGCAGGACGGGGCGGGCCGGAGGCTGCTGTCCCCGCCTCCCAAGCCTTGGGCTCGCCGCGTAGCGCAGTCCTCCGCCTTCCTTGCCTTCTCGTCCCCCTCCTTCCTTCTTTCCTTCCTTCCTTCCGCCGGGCGCTATGGAGCCGGGGCGCGGGGCGGCCGCGGCGCTGCTGGCGCTGCTGTGCGCGGGCTGTGTGCTGCGCTGCGGGCGCGCCCAGTACGAGCGCTACAGCTTCCGCAGCTTCCCGCGGGACGAGTTGATGCCTCTCGAGTCGGCCTACCGGCACGCGCTGGACCAGTACAGCGGCGAGCACTGGGCGGAGAGCGTGGGCTACCTGGAGATCAGCCTGCGGCTGCACCGCCTGCTACGCGACAGCGAGGCCTTCTGCCACCGCAACTGCAGCGCGGTGCCCCAGCCCGAGGCCGCCGCCGGCCTCGCCCACTACCCCGAGCTGCGCCTCTTCGGGGGCCTGCTGCGCCGCGCGCACTGCCTCAAGCGCTGCAAGCAGGGCCTGCCAGCCTTCCGCCAGTCGCAGCCCAGCCGCGAAGTCCTGGCCGACTTCCAACGCCGGGAGCCCTACAAGTTCCTGCAGTTCGCCTACTTCAAGGCAAGTCGACCCGCTCCGCCCCCAGCCCCGGGCTCCGCCCCCAGGCCCGGGCTCCGCCCCTCCCTCTGGGGCAGCCTCGCACCACCTTTCCCGATCCAGCCTGCTCCCACCCAGCGTTGCCCAAGGAAGCTTCCAAATCCTGTCCCTCCCTTCATCTTAAATAGGGATGAAAATACTTTTCTGGAAGGGTTATTCTGGAGCAGAGAATATGTACACAGAGTGTCTAGCCATCCAACAGTGCCTGATAAATGTTACCTGTTATTTGAAGACAGACTCGTCTTTTCTGTACATATCATTAAAACTCCTTTTTCTCAAGTAAGTGGTGACTTTCAGTAATGGAAGGGAAGAGGACCTGAGTTGCCGGCTAGTTCCCTTTAAAGAGGAGGAAGTTGAGGCCAGGACAGGGCAGGGGCTCTTCGGGAGCACACACCCTGCCTAGAGGAGCAGAACTGTGCATTGTGATTCATCAGGATTGGTCCCGGCTCTCTTTCATCTAGAATTTAACACAGTCGTCTTCCTCCTTCTTTGTGGCTGCTTAAATTCTGTGATTGCTAGGGCGCCTGGGTGGCTCAGTTGGTTAAGCGATTGCCTTCCGCTCAGGTCATGATCCTGGAGTCCGAGGATCGAGTCCCACATCGGGCTCCGTGCTCAGCAGGGAGTCTGCTTCTCCCTCTGACCCTCTTCCCTCTCGTGCTGTCTATCTCTCATTCTCTCTCTCTCAAATAAATAAATAAAATCTTTAAAAAAAATTCTGTGATTGCTGGCTAAAAATAGCCACAAATTGCAGTTCTTGATCCTTGGAGTCTTTTCTCTGGGGACCTGCAAATTTTAAGAATGGGCTGAATGCCCTGTTCCTGGATAAAGCGACTTTATCTTGGCGGGTCCTTACCAGGTTTTGCCAAGAAAGCCCTCTCAAAGTCCAGTTTCTACTTTAACTAATTAAAAATGATTTTTAAAGGAATATATTGCATTTATTTTAATGACTACAAAAATAGATTCATGGCATATTCCAGACTCTGGAGGTAGAAGTTGTTTTGTTTTGAAACTTTGCTTTGAGTCTTTGGACTGCAAGATCTGTTTTTCGTATTTCTGAAACAGAGCCACCTTATGTTGTTGCATTCATAAGAGCAGTAAAAAAGCACAAAACCCTAAATAGGTGAAAAGCTGAGTTATTTCTGTGCTTACATTTTATAAAGTATCGGTTTTGTGAATGTTTGTCCTGGCAATAAAAAAATGGTTTTAAAATAGAACCAGGGGATAAGATTAATAAAGCTCCAGGACATTGAAAAATGGTTGGCTCTTAAGGGACTGTGTTTTAAGCTAAAAATGGCTCATTTAATTCTCTCTTTTTTGTGTAGCTTTTGCCAGATACTGTCTGAACCAAATTTGAGTCATATAATCAAGGGGGAAATGTTTTATTTTTTAAAACTGGAGGATAGTAGAAGCTGATTTATCTGCAGATGAATTTGAAACAAGTGATATAGGGAGGAGGGGAAGAGTATTTTACTTAATGTGACCAGAAGGCAAAGGTTTTCTCCTTCATGACGGTGTCCTCAAAGGTCAGGATGGTCACAGCTATTCTTCAAAACCTCTCACCAGTGTCTTGTAACAATCACTTACTTAAAAGTAGGTGAAATGCCATCTGTCTTGGTATTTTGAGATCTCTTAAAGGACAGGAAAGGTTCAGGATTTTATTAGTAAGCCAGGATCTTCAGTTAGTTGCTTCAGCTGAAAGTCACTGAAGAAGTGATTTGAGGTCGTGTTACTGTATGGTTTATTTTTTTCCTTAATGATGTTTCTGTTGTCCAACTCGGTGTGTGGGTAGGAGGACCTGATTGGTGGCAGGCACATACACTGTGCCGGGCACCCGAAGGCTGGAGGCTGGTGCCGGAGACAAAGCTGTCTGCTGTGGCAGGGCTGAGCAGTGTTCTTGTGCTGCCCTGGTTTGCAGGCCTCCGTTTCACTGATTAAGGACAGATGTCTCAGTTGAACACACGGGTGGGGATGGTGGGTTTGGCCTGTCAGAGGGAGGTAAAGAGGCACGGATGTGTGGTCTTGCAGAGAAGGTGCTCCTGGTGGGTAGCCCTGAAGCCCACCATAGGGGTTTATGTCATCAGCCCATCTTAGGTCCACACCATCAGCTGTGGGTTCCCTCCGGGGCTGCATCTCTGTGAAATGCCCATCTTCCCCGTAGGCCGAGCAAAAAGTGGGCCCCCACGCTTGATCAAATCTTTATTGACTGTTAAACTCTGAGCAGGTAGAGCTGGCCCCCTCCCAGGCACTCCTACCCCCCACCTTGCCTGGACAAGGACTCTGTCTCCCACCCCCACCCCCACCCCCAGCCACAGGGCCTGCCACCGCACTGAGGACGATTTAGGAGTAGCTTGTTTGGTGGGTAGCTGGGGTCTTCTCATGCAGGTGGCTGTCTCTCCGGAGTCCCTGGGAGGGTAGTGCTCCCACCCGCTTCTCCAGAACCTACCTGGCTTTCTATCAGCAGGTTAGCTGCCAAGATGTGGCTCCATGTTCCAGCTGGCAGGGCCCAAGCGGAAGTGAATAAATCACCCTTTCCTCTCCAGGAAGGGGTTCTATTTTGTTAAAACTCAGGTCCTAAGTTAGAGGCCTTAAAAATCCCTTTCTGTGCCCCTTTTCTAAGTGCTCTTCTGAGAATTAGACAATCGCAGTTCATTGGCAAATGCTTTAGAGGGCTGCATTCGTACGTCCTCCCCTCCTTGTAGCTGGCAGACTAGCCTTTTTCTGGCCAGGGGTGTAAGGCGTTCTGTAGAACTCTTTGAAAGGCATTCCCACATAGGCCACTGACTGGCACTTCCAGAACATCAGCACTGACACCTGGGAGTTTGCCCTCATTACTACCCAGCCCTTCTCCAGTGCAGCCGCTGCCTTGTCTCCACGTGACTCAGCACCAGTCCTGTTTCATACAGATAATCTGCTACCATCTGATTCTGAGAAATCCAGAATGTACCAGATATTCCTTTGTTTTCTCTCTGCAAACCTAATTCCCTAATTCCCACCTCTGAGCGTTGCTCTGGATTGGCTGAAGGAGTCTCTGTGCACATGTAGGGTGCCTTCCCTTCTCCCACAGCATGTCGTGCCATGATTCCAGGGGACAGCCAGAGACAGCACATTAGCACGGGGGCCCACTGCTTGTTGGCTGAGTGTCCACACAGGGAGGTGTCCGTATTGCTCTAGCCCATACGCCCCAATATACAGTTCCCCCCAGAGGATCTCTGCCCTCTGGGCACTGTCCACAAGGGGGCCAGACCTGAAGCTCCAGGGCCAGAGACCTTAATCGAGGTTGCTCAGAGATACATGGAAGCATACTGGAGTGTATCGCACATGGAGGCAGGGTTTTCTTCCCCTGTTTTGCTCATTGTTACAGACCCACTTTCTAGGATAGCACCTGGCGTGTAGGAGGCTCTTGACAAATGTGTGCTGAGTGAACGGATGAGTGCGTGGTGGTGGGGGTCATCGAGAATGGTAAAGCAGGAGGTTCTGTGAGAGACTTGGGAAAATAGTTATATATTTGGGGATATATCATATATATATATATTTCCACTATATATATATTGGAAAATAATAATATATTTTTCCAGCAGAAAAGGTGTGGTGTAGTCCCACTGGGTAATTAGAGGGATGTTGAAAGGTGATTATTTACAAAGGCTAGTAATGGTGGATGTGACTCCCCCTGGGCCAAAAAGGGCACGGGAGAGGAAAGTTCCAGGAAGCAGGAAGGAGCGAGACTATCCAGAGAGGGCCACCTCGAGAGGAGCTGTGACCTTCAGTTAAGGGCCAATAGCGGCCCAAGGTGACTGAAAGGAGGGAGCCAGGAGACTAAGTAACCCAACTTACCCCCTTGCCTTCCTTTGGGCTCCCACTGGGGCTCCTCACTGGTGAACCCCATTGGAAGCTGGAGAGCAAGAGAGTGCAAGGCTTGATGGGCCATAGAAGTCACTGAACCCTCAGCTGGAAGCATTGTGTTGAAACACAGAGTTACATGAAGGACTGAACATTCTTGTTTTGCAAAAATCACTGCTCATCCTCCATTGAGTAGAGCTCCTCTTACTTTGTTGTACTCAGGCGAATAATCTTCCAAAAGCCATTGCTGCCGCTCACACCTTTCTACTGAAGCATCCTGATGATGAAATGATGAAGAGAAACATGGCGTATTACAAGAGCTTGCCTGATGCCGAGGACTACATTAAAGACTTGGAAACCAAGTCATTCGAGGTATATTTGGGTTTTTACACAGCAAGGTAGCTGCAGTGTGAGTGGCTAAAGAAGTGGATCTTGATGAATAGCTATTGACATCTAAGGACCTCTAATGGTTTTTGATGGCATTGATGAATATTATGACAATGGAAATGATTGACTTTTTAGCACAAAGTTGACCCATTTGAGAATGAGGTTTTATGTTCCATGATGCACTTAAAGCCACGTTTCCTTTAAATGCTGTATTTTAGAAATAAGGTCATTTTGGGGTGCCTGGGTGGCTCAGTCGGTTAAGTGTCTGACTCTTGATTTCTGCTCAGGTCATGATCTCAGGGTTGTGAGAGCAAGCCCCATGTCAGGCTCCTCGCTCAGTGGGGAGTCTGCTTGGGATGCTCTCTTTCTCTCCCTCTGCCCCCCTCCACTCCTGCTCTCCCTCCCTCTATAAAATAAATAAATAAACCTTTTTTTTTAAGAAATAAGGTCATTTGATCATTTAGTTTTAAGATAGGGGAATAAATACATGTCTTGGAGATCATCCAAAAATGACCAAGAACACAAGCAACAGGGTCATAAGTTTCCATTTCTGATGAAACTAGAAGACACATCTTTTTATACACACACACACATACACATACACACACCTCATATGTATTGAGGTGGAAAGGGAATCGAGGATCTTGGAGGACTGACTTGACAGATTAGAGGCTACTACTGAAATCTAGGCATCTGTGAAGGGGAGTCTGATGGGAATGAATGAGGAAGACTAACTCCTTTGAGCACTTACTGTTGTCCAGATCTATCGAGTTTGGATGCCAGGGGCATGGGTACCAAGGAAGGGTTAGGGCAGGGTTGAAAACAGTGGGATGTGTTGAAAGTATCCAAGGACTGACTTTAGGGTTACCAGTCGTGTGACCAGACTGCAAACTTACTTTGTCATTGGTGGTGACCCTCAAATATAGGATGCAGAGTCTCTATTCTGGTGGCCCTTCAGTTTTCCAGGGAAGAATTCTCCAGCTTTTTGCAGGACTAGTGAAGTGTCATGCTTGTCTGCCTGTGTCTGAGAGCCAGTCTGGGGAGAGGGATGGGGCCCTCATAGCTGAGTCAGAGACTTTACCTGCTTCTTGGTTCTTAGCCTCATGCCTCAACTGTTGCACTGTTCTGCCTGATCCCTGACCCTACAGCCTTTATAGATAGAGTGTCTAGAATAAATCACCAATCTCTGGTGAGGAGCAGCTTTGGGAGGTGGGATCCCTTGGGTGCACAGACAGGTGGGGCTCCAACAGCCCTGTTCAGACTTTCAACCCTGCCTTCTGTTCTGGGCCTAGCACGAGTCTCTGTGGTCGCTAGTGCCTGCAAATGCCGACAGGTATGTGATGTAGTGCGGTGCGTAGTGGGGGAGGGGAGGTCGCTTCCCCCCAGACCCTCCTCTGTGATAATTTGGCTTTCTGTCCTTCCAAAAGTTGAAATGTCTTGCCTGCTGCTGGCTCCTTTTCCATTCTCCCGTGAAAAGGATTTCTGCCTGTGGTTTTCACTGGGCCTGGGGAGCAGAGCTGAGTGCTCATGGTCAGTGCACTGTGCCTAATTCCTTCCCTCTTTGGAGTCCTGCCGGGTGTGGTGGGGCTGCCCGGCTGTGTGCCCAGGGCTCCCCCTGCCATGCATGGCTTTCTTCTTGCTGCTGCCACCCTGCCGCCCCTGCAGAGCCAGCTGCCTGATGTTGCTGCTCGTTTTCCCAGCCTCTAGGCAAGTGGTTCAGTTCTCTGCCTGCCTGATTTCCAGGTGATGCTGCCTGCCCAGGAGGTCTAGGGGAGATCACCCTCTCTCCCTGACACCTTAAGCTTGGTGAAGAGTTCCGGTCTGAGGGGTGGTCCTTAGACACCCGAATTCTGGAGCAGCTGAACAGGAGCTCTAAATGGAGTGTGCCATGCTTATTTCCAGGACTGTTCTGGACCCTCCACGTGAGCAGGGTTGTGCATGTGCCCAAGATCTCTACTTATTTCTTGTGAGACCAAGCAGCTTCCTCAGCCTTCGTTATCTCTCTTTTATCTGGTCCAGTCAACAGGTAGCAGAAATTTCTTGAAGTTCCACAATCCAGCCCATGGCCGCCCCCCTAGTAACTAGTACTGATGCTTGGCATTCCTATTTTATACTTAACTGTTGGGGGAAGTGTATCTGGCACCCGCTCTAAAGCTTATATCTTTTCTCTGCTTCAGTTTTGGAGATCAGCTTTATTGAAGTAGAACTTATTTAAAATTTATTTACCAGTTTTAAGTATATAACTCGATGAGTTTTGGTAAAGGTATGCGAGTATGTAACCACCACCATAGTCACAACATAGAATATTTTCATCTCCCCTTCCCAGTCAAGCATTTGTCCCAACCCCTCACCTTCGGAGGCCACTGCCCTGATTTCTGTCACTCTAGCTTTTCTTTTTTTCTTGATTTGAATTTGATTTTATTATCAAGCACCTCCTACTTTTTGAATTAAATTAAATAAGAAGCGTGCCGTTGTACATAGGATAGAAAAAGCTAGATATAAGTCAGGTCCCGGCCGGCCTCATCTTTAATTAAGGATCGGCGTGGTTTCCTTGGGACAAATGAGAGTGGAACTCCACGGTGGTCGGACTCCTTTCAGTTGGACGGCCCGCCTCCTTCCTGTCTGGGAGCTTCACCCACCTCTTCTCGCTTTCCAGAGCCTGTTCATCCGGGCGGTGCGGGCCTACAACGGCGAGAACTGGAGGACGTCCGTCACGGACATGGAGCTGGCCCTTCCCGATTTCTTCAAAGCCTTTTACGAGTGCCTCGCAGCCTGCGAGGGCTCCAGGGAGATCAAGGACTTCAAGGATTTCTATCTTTCCATCGCAGGTTGGTGGTGGGCAGTATTCCACACGTGAATGGGACAGCTGCCCTGTGGCATCCGCATGCCTTCCTGGTGGCTTGAGTCACTCCGAGGAACTTTTTTTTTTAAAGATTTTATTTCTATATTTGACACACAGAGAGAGCAAGGGAGCGAGCACAAGTAGGCAGAGTGGTAGATAGAGGGAGAGGGAGAAGCAGACTCCCCGCTGAGCGGGGAGGCCGATGGGGAACTCGATCCCAGGACCCTGGGATCATGACCTGAGCCAAAGGCAGATGGTCAACGGACTGAACCACCCAGGTGCACCTCCAAGGAACTTTTGAGCTTCAGTGTGAACGGTGGCTGGGGAGGTAATATGTAACCCACACGTCCAGCCTTTGATTTAGTAGGGGTTTCTGGAAAAACACCTGAGTACGGTGTTCAATCAAGCACAGGTCTGGAAAGGGGGTCCAGCAGATCAGCCCTGCCTGGTTATAGATCCCCCAGAGGCTTTTGGAAAAATAAAAATGGGCCCAAGAGCAACTCATGACTCACGTTATATAAAACGTTACTAGTTTAGCCACCCTTAAGAGTGCAGTCCAGTGGCATATAATACATGCGCACTGATGTGCACCACCCCTGCTGTCCATCTCCACCACCCATCATTTTGTCTTCCCAAACGGATGTTCTGCACCCATTAAACACCATCTCCCCATCCTTCTGCCCACAGCCCCTGACAACCACCACTCTGCTTTCTGTCTCTGTGAATTGGACTACCCCATGTACCTTGGATACATAGAATCCTGTAGCATTTGTCCTTTTCTGACTGGCTTATTTCACTTAGCAAAACGTCTTCCAGCCTCAGAAATAATGTAGCAAATTGGTTGTCTTTTAAATCTCTTTTAACTGGTAGGTTCTTCCTCTATGTCTATTTTGCCCCCGTGGCTATTGAAAAAAACCAGATCATTCGCCCTGTAGAGATTCCCATAGTCTGGATTTTGCTAATTGTATCCCCTTGGTCCTCTGTTCTCTTTATTTCTTAGAACTTTGTAGCTGGATGTAGAGGCTTGATCGGGCTCAGGTTTGATTTTCTTTTTTTGTGGAAGTTGGGGCACAAAACAGCTTCCTAGTTGGTGCTCAGTTCTTGTGTCAGGAAGCACCGGATGTCTGGTTGTCTTTTTCTCTGTAATGTTGGCAGCTGCTGGTGCTCATGCTGGACCTCATGTAGTACCTGTTAACCAGCGTACCTCTGCTGGTGAGAGGTCATTCCTTCCAGCATCCCTTCCTGCCTATAATGTCAGGAAGTACTCCTTACACTCAAACTGAAGGAGGGGGACAAAAAGGGTGCTTACTTGGAGCTGCAGTGTTTTGACTATAGATAAAAGACAGTTACTAGAAAAAGTAACATTTACTATGCTCTAACTAGATGCCAGGCCCTGTTCTATGCTCTTTATGGGTATTATCTCGAGTTTGCAACCCTATGAGAAAGGTACTAGCATTCTCCCCATTTTACAGCTGGGAAAGCTGAGGCCTAGAGAGGTTATGTACTCTGCTTGTTGTCCTCAGGGGAAGGGCTGGGATTTGAACCCAGGCAGTTTTGACTGGAGTCTTACCTCTTAACCCCAGTGAAATAGTCTCACCTCACCTACATTGTACTTAATCTCGAACTTTATTACATTTTTGAATAGGTAACATATATGCACATAGTATAAATTGTGAAAGACACAAAAGCATATACTGTAGAAAATAAGTCTTCTGTATAGTCAGGGTCTTGACTGGAGATAGATGGCAGACATACATGAGGATACCTCAAGATGGATTTATTTATAGAAATGTGGGTGAAGGTGAATCCCAGGGGGGCAAACTGATACCCTGGAGCTACTAGTAGCTGAGTTATTATTTCCTAGGCTGAAGGGAAGGAAGGAGTTACAGGCAGTTGGAAGGAAGTCTTGCTTCTATCCACATCTCTTCTACCCATTCCACTCACCCCAAAGGTAACCATTTTTTTTTAAAGATTTTATTTATTTATTTGAGAGAGAGAATGAGAGAGAGAGAGCATGAGACGGGGGAGGTCAGAGGGAGAAGCAGACTCCCTGCTGAGCAGGGAGCCCGATGTGGGACTCGATCCCGGCACTCCGGGATTATGACCTGAGCCGAAGGCAGTCGCTTAACCGACTGAGCCACCCAGGTGCCCCAAAGGTAACCATTTTAATTAGCTTCTGGCTTATACCTCTAAAAGTTTTTTTTTTTTCTACAAAAATAAGCAAAGATCACTTTATCTTTGATCTACCTAAGATATATCTCTATAACTCTATCTTTATATGTAGATAGATAATTGAGAAAATTTTTTTTGTTTTAAATTTTTATTTTAAAATAATTTTTTATTTTTAGTTTTTATTTTAATTTTTTATTTTTAAGTAATTCCAAACCTGTAGAGAAGTAGCAAGAGTAGTACAAAGAACTCTCATAAACTCTTTAGCCAAATTCACCAATTTTTCACACTGATTATGTCACATTTACTTCATCATTCTCTCTGGATGTGTGTGTATAATTATTTTTATTTCAGAACCACTTGAGAGTACGTTGCATACATCATGACCCTTTACCCCATAATACTTCAGTGTATTTCCTAAGAATAACAATATTCTGCAAAACTCCACAATACAGTTACTGAATTCAGGCAACTTAATATTGAGACAGTACTTTTATACAATCTATAGTTTATATTCCAATTTTCTCCATTATTCCAATAATGTCCTCTAGGAGCTTTTTCTTTCCTGGTGAAGTGCAGTCCAATATCATGTTTCCTATTTATTTGTCATTTTTCTTCAGTGTTCTTTAATCTGGAAGAGTTCCTTGGCCTTTCTTTTTATGCCATTGATTTTTTTTTTTATGCTATTGATATTTTTTTAAGAATATAGGCTAGGGGCGCCTGGGTGGCTCTGTCTGTTAAGCGTCCGCCTTTGGCTCAGGTCCTGATCCCAGGGTCCTGGGATCGAGCCCTGCATCGGGCTTCCTGCTCAGCGGGGAGTCTACTTCTCCCTCTCCCTCTGCCTGCCACTCTCCCTGCTTATGCTTGCGCTCACTTGCTCTCTCTATCTCTGTCAAATAAATAAATAAATAAATAAAATCTTTAAAAAATATATAAGAATATAGGCCAGTCACTTCATAGAATAGTCCTCAATTTGGGTTTCTATTACATTCAGGTTGTGCACTTTTGGCTGGAACACTACGGAAGTATGCTTCTCGGTGTATCCCATCCAGATGTGTGTGGTGTCTGTTTGCCCCTTACTGGTGATGTTCACTTTTAAGCATTTGGTTAAGGTAATTTCCAGTTTCCAGCTTCTCAGCAATACTATTTTTCCTTTTGATATTAATAAATAATTTGGGAAAAGATACTTCAAGACGAGGACAATTTGGTCTTCATCAGACTGTCTCTACCTTCTCCCCTACTACCACACACATACCAATTTAGTGTGTATTGAAGATTCTTGCCTGATTCTTTGTTTTCTATAAAGGTCATATATATATATGTACGTCTATTTTTCTGTATTTTTTTGTTTGCTTTTTTCACACTGAATAGGTACCATATTTTATACACTGTTCTGTTCTTTGCTTTTTCCACTTAGCAGTATACCCTAACTAGCACATAGAGAGAGTCATTCTTTTTTGTTGTTGCTGACTACTCCACTGAGGGGTGCGGGGAATGATGCACCACAGTTTATTCAACTATCTGATGGACATTTGGTTTGTGCCAATCTTTTGCTATTACATGTAATACTGCAATGGGGAACTTTAGGCATTTTCTTTTCTTTTCTTTTCTTTTTGCTAAGTGTGGAGGTATGTTTTCAGAATCAACATAAGTGGGATTAATAGTTCAAAGAGTAAATATTTCTGCAAATTATTTAGTATTTTAAGTTACCATTTTGTATTCCTAGCAAAAATGTGTGAGAGTGCCTGTCCTCCCCAGGCTTGCCAACAAAATGTGTACCATCATCATGGAGTCTTTTGCCGCTAGCTACCTGAAGGGAGAAAAGGGAGGGGGCCAAGGATCATATGGAGGATTTTAGGGACCAGCCCTTAAAGCGGTAGAAGTAGCATTCATTAGTTGTTGCCGTCCACATTTCAATGGCACAACCAGTCATGTGGCCCCAACCCAACTGCAAGGGAGGCTGGGAAATGTAGTCTTTGATGTCTTTCTCTGTTATCATATTTAGGTCTACCTATTCTCTTTTAAAGGCTGTATAGAGGGGCACCTGGGTGGCTCAGTCGGTTAAGTGTCTGCCTTTGGCTCAGGTCATGATCCCAGAGTCCTGGGATCGAGTTCCGCATTGGGCTCCCTGCTCCTTGGGGAGCCTGCTTCTCCCTCTGCCCCCCGCATCTCTCATGAATAAATAAATAAAATCTTTAAAAAAAATAAATAAAGGCTGTATAGATTCTGTTGTTTGTATATACCATAATTGATTAATCACTATCCTATTGATTGGCATTCAGGTTATTTCCAAGTCTGTTTGTTGTTGCAAACGATGCTTATGTGTGCCCATGTCTAAAGAAAATTTCCTAGAAGTAGCCTGCTGGGCCAGAGGATATGTGCATTTTAACCTTTGATGCATTTTGCCAAATGGCTCTCCAAAAAATGTGTTCCTGTTTTGCTTCTACCAACAGACTATGAGAGTGTAAGTTTCACCATTTTCTCCCTAACAATGGGTGTTAGCAAATTTTTTTAATTTTCCCAATTTAAATGACAGATGGGAGCTACACTTGTGGCGAGCACAGCATAATGTATAGACTTGTTGAATCACTATGTTGTACACCTGAAACTAACGTGTGTGTCAACCCAACTTCAACAAAACGTTTTTTTTTTTTTTGCCAATTTAGCAGTTTAAAATATTTTTGGTGGGATTGTGTTCCTTCATTACAAATGAAGCTTAACATCTTTTCACAGTGTTTATTAGCCATTTTTACAGTTTCTTTTCCGTGAACATCCTTTGGCCATTTTATATTGGGTGTTTGTTTTTTTCTTACGGATTTTTTTTTTAAGATTTTATTTATTTGACACAGACAAACACAGCAAGAGAGGGAACACAAGCAGGGGAAGTGGGACAGGGAGAAGCAGGCTTCCTGGCGAGCAGGGAGCCCGATGCAGGGCTCCAACCCAGGACCCTGGGATCATGACCTGAGCCGAAGGCAGATGCTTAACGACTGAGCCACCCAGGCGCCCTTTCTTACAGATTTTAAAGAACTTTGTATATTAAGGGTTTTAGCCCTTTTATCATAAGTGTTGCAAGTATTTTACCTTTATCATCTTTACATTTTACCTGGATCGTTGAGGGGGCAGAAGCGGTACTGAGAAGCTGATGGATGCACTGCTCTGAGAATTTGTGTGTCTTCTTTCAGATCATTACGTAGAGGTGTTGGAATGCAAACTACAATGTGAAAAGAACCTCACCCCCGTTATAGGAGGCTATCCGGTGGAGAAATTTGTGGCCACCATGTATCATTATTTGCAGTTTGCTTATTACAAATGTAAGTAATTATCTTCTACCAGATCTTGGGCAAGGTCCTTAATCCTCCTAAGACTCAGCTTCCCCATCTGTAAAAAATCGGGGTAATAACCCTGACCTCTGGTTGTTGAGAGAATCCGTCAAGGTCACATTGACAGCCCTGGTGCGTGCTTTGCACAAAAAGGCAGCAAGGCCTGGTGATTCCGGGCACGGCCCCTGGAGCTGGACTGCCTGGGTTTACATTTCAGCTTCATCACTTCCTAACTTCTCTGTGCCTCAGTTTCCTCATCTGTAAATTGGAGATAATTTGTACTAACCTCATCAGTTGCTACGTGTGGAATGCTTAGGGTAGTCGTACACTAGCACGTGGCATTATCTCCTCCCTATCATCCGCCTTCCCTTCCAGACTGAGTTTTATCCCACTTGGTCCTCCTTGGGCCTGAAATTCGAGTTAATCGATCAGAACATTCCAAGGAGTCGAAGGAAAACAAAGAGAAAGTGATTCAGAGTTCAGGCTTCAGAGTCTGTCTCTTTGCCTTTTCCTCCTCTCCCCGTAACTGATGTCATCTGAGTGGGGATACTGTGGTGGTGACGCGCACAGGAGGATCCTTCCCGATCAGGGACGTGCTCGCTGTCTGGACTGACCGGTGACCTTGGCTCCCACAGCCCCCCTTCCCCACTGTGGCTGTTTTGTTCTTTGTTGAGTTCTCTCTTCTTGCAACAACCACCTCCTGTCCTCTGCAGGATGCCTGCTGAAGGTTGAAAAAGGGACAAAAAAAGAAAAAAGGGAAAAAAAGAAGAAAATTTTCTTCTATATGTATATACATAAATTTTTAATTTTGCTAATCAGGATTGTTACTGAGAAGGCTCTGGAGCAGTCATTTACACCAGAGCTTTGTGAGTAAGGGAACTTGCCTCTCTCAGCAGTGAACCAGCTATTATGACAGCCTGAATCTCACCTAAGGATGTGATGAGATATCCTGAAATGTCCCTTGGTTGGGACATTTCTGAGATCAATAGGAGGGTGAGGTGTGTCTTCAACAGGTGTCCTTCCCCGTGCACAGAGGGCAGGGATGAAGTTTTATTTGCCACTATAATCCTGGCACTAGCTGTTTGGTAAAGGATTATTTAGTGTAGAGGACAAGAGTCTTATTCTTTTTTTCTTTTTCTTCTGGAGAGAGATTGAGAGTGAGCTGGGGGTGGGGCAGAGGGAGAGAGAGAATCCCAAGCAGGCTCCACGCTCAGCATGCAGCCTGACATGGGGCTCAATTCTACTGCCCCAAGATCATGACCTGAGCCGAAATCAAGAGTCAGATGCCCAACTGACTGAGCCACCCAGGCGCCCCAAGTCTTATTCTATAGAATCTAGGAACATGCTTTCACATAAGACCCACTAAGCTCACAGTGGGTCCCCAGCAAATATTTATTTGGCTGTGTTCTCATGCCGAGGGGACAGTTATTCTACTAGGCAGTGTTTTTGCTTATGAAGAGCCCTCTTTTTTAGTGTAAGTGATTGATTAGTGCTTTGTTACAAAAAGACTTGTAGTATAGGCTTTTACAGCAAACCGAACATCTCAGAGATGTACAGAGAAACACCCAAAGCAAACCACCCATTCCCATCTCCCCTCCTCCCCCAAATCCCTCTGTTAACTCTTCGCTTGTATTCATCCACACTTGGAAGAGCCCTGTTTTAATGAGAATTATGGAAACTTATGTACATTTTATTTTATTTTTTAAGATTTTATTTATTTGAGAGAGAGCGAGAGAGCACGAGCAGGATGAGGGACAGAGGGAGAAGCAGACTCTCCGCTGAGCAGGGAGCCTGACGTGGGGCTGGATCCTGGGACTCCGGGATCATGACCTGAGCCAAAGGCAGATGCTTAATCAACTGAGCCACCCAGGTGCCCCAAGTTATGTACATTTAAAAAACTTATTCTGGAAAAAAAAGCAACCTTATTCTGGAAATTTAAAAGTGTACATTAGAGAGGATGATATAATGAACTGTAGTATGCCCATCACCCCACTTGAATTTTGATCAACACTTTGCCAATCTTGGATTCACAGTTTAAAAGTTTTCTGCTGGGGCGCCTGAGTGGCTCAGTCGGTTAAGCGACTGCCTTCAGCTCAGGTCATGATCCCAGGGTCCTAGGATCGAGCCCCGCGTCGGGCTCCCTTTGCTCAATGGGGATCCTGCTTCTCCCTCTCCCACTGTCCCTCCCCCTGCTCATTCTCTCTCTTTCTCTCAAATAAATAAACAGAATCTTTTAAAAAAGGAAATAAAAGTTTTCTGTGGATGAAAACATAAGCTGTTGTTGTTTTTTGATAAGCTACTGTTTTTATTTCATTTTCACAAAAACCTGCGTTGGCACCTTCCTGAGCTAGGCCCCGAGTTGGACTCTGAAACACGGGGAAGAATCCAGCAGGTGTTCCGGCCCTCTGAGTGGGGCTTGGCTCTGCTTGCACAAAGCCAGAACACTAGGAGTTTAGAAGTGTTTATGATCCATGCAGCTCCTCGGGCAGCGCACTGGTCCTTGGAATCCTCACATGCTCTGAAAGTCGCCGTGCGTATCAGAGACTGTGGCAGTGACTTATAGACAGCGGTAGACCAGAACCTCTAGCTCTGCTGGTTGCTTCACGGGAATCTTTGCTTTCTGGGTTTATAGGTAAACAGTATGAGTAAGACGTACTTCTTGAAATTAGCTTCTTGAAAGTCAGCCCTGTTGCGAACTTTTTTGAGATTATCTACCACACTGAATTTTTTGAGGGAAGGTGTTATTTATGCTTGAACTCCAGCCGCGTAGGCCTTGAAATAAGTACCTTTCCCCACCTTGTAGACTTTGTGAATAATCTGTGCCCTGAAGCACTGTTTTTAAGGTTGTTGTTACAGAAGACAGCCACTGGGTGGCACAATTTATTCATACCCACGTTTTGGTTACTCCGCCACCCAGCGCTTTAGCAAAGGTAGTAGGTTGAAAATTGGAGCATAGTGTGCCAGGATAAATACCGAGGGGCTTGTGGCTTATCACCTCTTTCCCCTTACCCCCCCTCAGCCCCCAAATAAATCCCAACCCCTGCCGATCTCCTGTGCTGAAGGTGCTGTCATAGGCGGGGCAACTCTGAGGAGGGATGCTAGAGGTGGGAACCCCAGTTTCCAGGAGATGTCAACACCAGGTGACTTCAGATCTCTTCCAGCCCAGAAGGCCCACCATCCTTTCGGTCTTCTAGGTTTCGGGTAGCTGTAGGAGGGCTGCCTGGATGTGGGGGTTGTGGTGCCATCCAGATGGGACGCAGGCACATCCTCCCTACCTCCCTCAGCCCCAGGACAGTCCAGGGGACCCAGCTTTCCCAGCTCAGGTCAGTGGAGCCTGAAGTGGAATATAGTAGACATTTCTGGAAAGGCAGATTCTGCCTAATGAGGAACTTCCATGTTTCAAAACCGCTCCCCGGGCTGCCGTGGAGACCCAGTCTGTGATCTGCCCACCCAGGGATAATTCTGGCTGGTCACAGGCTTTGCCAAGGAGGGGCTGTGGAGAAGGGGCTTGCCCAAGTATATTTTCTTTAGGAAGCCGTTGCTGCTGAGGGGGATTTCAGGGCACGGTTTGCCGATTTCCTGTGCCTCTTTTCTCCCCGGCCTCAGTGAACGACCTGAAGAACGCAGCCCCGTGCGCAGTCAGCTACCTGCTCTTTGACCACGACGACAAGGTCATGCAGCAGAACCTGGTGTATTACCAGTACCACAGGGACAAGTGGGGCCTCTTGGACGAGCATTTCCAGCCCAGACCAGTAGGTGGCGGGGCACGGGACCTCACGTTTGCGGGCCTCCTCTTCTCACTTTAGGGGACTGCTTTGCACCTTACAGGAAAAAGTTATTACAGAAATGAAGGGGAACTCCTTTTTTTCTGTTTTTTGTTTTTGTTTTTTTTGTCTTTTAACATTTTACTGCTCTATTCTGATTCCTAAATCAGTAAAAACTACCAAACATTACAAAAATGTTTTACTTAGAAAGTGAAATTCCCTCAAAATCCCATAGCTTTTCTTTACCCCCTGCCTTATAGCTATGCATTTGCATATATATATATATCATATATACAGCATGTATTTATTTTTACAGAAACAGGGTCACACTTTACCTGCTGTTGTGCAACTTGCTTTGTCTTTCCAACAATTCATCATGAACGTTTTCCATGTCACACTCATACAGCTACTTATTTTTTAACACGTCCAAGATAGATTCGTTTATGGATGGACCATCATTTAATTCACTTGACAGACAAGCTCAGCTTTGCATGTGTTTGTTTTCAGGGAACTCTAGGGATTATATATTATTATTTTTTTTAAAGATTTTATTTATTTATTAGAGAGAGAGTGAGAGAGAGCATGAGAGTGGGGTGAGGGGCAGAGGGAGAAGCAGACTCCCCACTGAGCAGGGAGCCCGATGTGGGACTCGATCCCAGGATTCCGGGATCATGACCTGAGCCGAAGGCAGATGCCCAACCGACTGAGCCACCCAGGTGCCTGGGATTATATATTACTTTTAAAAAGATCTTTCCTAGTTGGTCTTTGCCCTTAACTTGTATTTTCATTGAGATTTTTGTATGCTGTCCCAATTTACCATACACACCTCACTCCCCTGCCAACACACAGAAACACACACACACAATCTCTCTCTCTCTGTCTCTCTCACTCACTTGGGGTTGGCCACTCTTTTTTAACTGAGGTATGTTTCATATACAGTAAAATTCATGCTTTTAAGATGTACAGTTTAGTGGTTTCCAGTAGACTCACAGAGTTGTACAACCATGACCACTGTCCAGTTTTAAACATTTTCATCACCCCCAAAAGAAATCATACCCTGTCTCCCCCTCCTCCCAGTTCTGACATCAAAGGGTTGGTCATAGAAACTGTTCTGTGTTTGTGTCTGAACAGGAAGCAGTTCAGTTCTTTAACGTGACTACACTCCAGAAAGAGCTGTATGACTTTGCGAAGGAAAATATAATGGATGATGATGAGGTAAGTTTTCATGTTTAGCACACGTCTGGCTAAGAGAAAATATTACATCTTTGCAGAAATCACTGGAAGGCCAAGTCATCCCTGAAACAGAAGGGAACCTTGAGAAATGTAGTTTCTGTAGGCGTTTTAATGAAAGAGCACTGGAGGGGGGAACACAGCTTTCTAGGAAACCCAGGTCATAGCACCACATTTCCTGACAGTGACTATGGAGGAACCCACCATAGAAGCCATCCAATGATCATTTTTTAACTTTAGAAAAACGCAGTGCATTTTCAATGACTCAGCGCTCTGAACACACTTGGAAAGCCTCATCCCAGTTTTTCTGAGATATAATTATTATCTCTTTTCTTCTTTTTCTTTTTGTAAATTCGGTTCTTGCTGTGAGTCATTTTATCATTCTCTGAGATTGCTTGAAATTCCTGATTCTCACTTAGCTGTCTCTCTTTTTTTTTAAGTTTTTATTTAAGTAATCTCTACCCCCAGCGTGGGGTTTAAACTCATGACCCTCGAGATCAAGGGTCACATGCTCCTCTGACCGAGCCAGCCAGGTGCCCCTTAGCTGACTCCTTTTTTTGACAAAGACTCTACTGGTGATGGATGAGTCATTTTGGGGTGGAGCAGCCTAGTCCCAGAAAAGCCCTCCTTATGGGGGTATTTAGAGAGATGTGTTTGAAACAAACCAGAACATGCTTCTATGGCCTCTGGGGACTTGTCAGCTTTTGGAGCTTGCTCTGGCCTGACCCCTCACTTCATTGATGAAGAGCGTGGGGGACAGGAAAGTTCGATGAGCTGCTATGCCAGACCCAGAGGCCCCGAGCTTCCAGGTCTTCTCTTTCCACTGCCCTGGTTTTTGGTGAAGCACTTCTAAATAAGATATGATCATGGAATTTGGGGGAAGACCCCCACTAGCAGGTACTGAATGGGGGTAGACCCATCACTTGCAGGCACTGAATTCCCCAGAGCTCCAGTTTTCCATCTATAAAATGGGACTAATAATGTTGACTTCACAGGGTTGGGAAAATGAAGTACTATGCTGCATGTGGAAATGCTTTATAGACCAGGAAGTGATCATTGTGTTGTGAGTCTTAGGTTGGGTTAAGAAGCAGAGCCTGACATAAGGTCACAAGGATGCTGCAAAGGAAGGAGTGCTGGCTAGAATACAAGCAAGGCTGGCTGCACTAGTTGGGAAAGTGGAGAAGAATATATTTAGAAAAAGGAAGAGTTGAGTTCCTAATGGTCCAGAGCAAGCCACTCTTGATATTTTGCTATAGATACTTCCAATGTTTTCTATACATTTCTAATATATATTCATAATAAACCCAACTGTAATAGGTATCATGGCTTTTCATTTAGCATTGTAATATGAGAAGTTCCCCTTGTGATGTTTTCCTAGAACAGCTTTATTGAAATATTACTCACACACAATAAATTCTCCTCTTTAAAGTACACAATCTAGTGGTTTTTAGTATATGTGCAGAGTTGTACATCCATCCCTAAGAATTTTAGGGAGTTTTCATCACCCCAAAAAGAAATCCCAAACCTGTTAGTAGCCATTCCCCATTCCTTCTCCTCTGCCCACCCCTCCCCCACCTCTGTCCCCAGCCCCTGGCAACCACTAATCTACTTTCTGTCTCTATGGATTTCCCTGTTTTGGACATTTCATATAAATGGAATCTTATGGTAGGTGGTCTTTTGCGATTGGCTTCTTTCACTGAGCATAATGTTTTCAAGGTTCAGCCATTTTGTCATATATATTATGTTACAATGTAAAATTCCTTCTTATTGCTAAGTAATATTGCACTGCAAGGATATACCATATTTTGTTCACCTGTTCCTCTGTTGATGGACATTTGAACTGGGTTGTTTCCACTTTTTGACTATTTTGAATAATGATGCTATGAACATTTGTGTACATGTTTTTGTTTGGACCAAAGTTTTTAATTCTCTTATGTACCAGGAGTATATATGTAGAAGTGGAATTGCTGGGTCAGACAGTAGCTCTGGTTAACTTGAGGAATTCCCAGACTGTTTTCCAAAGTGGCTGCACCATTTTACATTCCCACCAGCAATGTATGAAGTTTCCAACTTGCCACATCTTTGTCAGCACTTCCTGGTGTTTGTCTTTTTTATTACAGCCATTCTAGTGGGTGTGAGATAGTATTTCATTGCGGTTTTGATTTTAATTTCCCTAATGACTAATGATGTTGAGCATTTTTTCATATGCTTATTAAGTCATTTGTATATCTTCTTTAGAGAGATGTCTAGTCTATTCAAATTCTTTGTCCATTTTTTAATTGGGTTACTTGTCTTTTTATTGTTGAGTTGTGAGTGTTCTTTATATATTCTGGTTATAAGTCCTCCATCAGATACATGAATTACAAATATTTTCTTGCAATCTGTGGGTTATCTTTTCATTTTCTTAATGGTGACTTGAAGCATAAACGGTTTAAATTTTGATGAGATCCAATGTGTCTCGTTCAAACTACATCATCTTGAAATTGAAAGTATAAGTCTTCCAACTTCATTCTTCTCCCAGGTTGTTTTGGCTACTCTGGGTCCCTTGTATTTCCATATGAATTATAGGATCAGCTTGCCAATTTCTTTTTTTTTTTTTTAAAGATTTTATTTATTTATTTGACAGAGAGAGAGAGCACACACAAGCAGGGGGAGCAGCAGGCAAAGGGAGAGCAAGAAGCAGGCTCCCTGTAGAGCAGGGAGCCCGATGTGGGGCTCGATCCTAGGAACCTGGGATCATGACCTGAGCCGAAGGCATACGCTTAACCAACTGAGCCACCCAGGCGCCTCAGCTTGCCAATTTCTGCAAAAGGCAATTGGGATTTTTGATAGGAATTGTGCTAAATCTGAAGATCCTTTAGATAGTATTGACATCTTAACAGTATTAAGTCTTCTGATCCATTAACATGGGATATCTTTCCACTTCTGGAGGTCTTCTTTAATTTCCTTCAATAATGTTTTCTTAAATTTCGTTATTCTTGATGCTGTTGCAAGTGGAATTTTTTCTCATTTTTATTTTCAATTATTCATTACTAGTATATAGAAATACAATTGATTCTTGTATAATGATATTGCAATTCTGCAAATTTGTTGAACTTGTTTATTCTAATAGTTGTGTGTGTGTGTGTGTCTATTGCTTAGGAGTTTTTATATGCAAGATCATGTTATCTATGAATAGAGGTGATTTTACTTCTCTTCCACTCTGGATGACTTTTGTTTATTTTTCTTTGCTAATTGCCCTGACTAAAATCTCCAGTAAAATGTCAAATAGAAATGGAGAGAGTGAACATCCTTGTTTTGTTCCCAATCTTCGAAGAAAAACATTCTGTGTTAGCATTAAGAAAGTTGCTAGCTGTGAGGTTTGTTTTTTTTTTTTTAAAGATTTTATTTATTTATTTGACACAGAGAGAGAGATAGCCAGAGAGGGAACACAAGCAGGGGGAGTGGGAGAGGGAGAAGCAGGCTTCCCGCTGAGCAGGGAGCCCGATGCGGGGCTTGATCCCAGCACCCTGGGATCATGACCTGAGCCGAAGGCAGACGATTAATGACTAAGCCACCCAGGTGCCCCGGTTTTTTTTTTTTTTTTTTTGTAGGTGCCCTTTGTCAGGTTGAGAAAGTTCCCCTTCTATTCCTAGTTTGTCTAATGTTTTTATCATGAAGTGGTGTTGAATTTTGTCATTTGCTTTCTGCATCTATTGAGAAGATGATGTGGTTTTTGTTAACCTTGTTAGTTAATGTTTGTTATAAACATGACTTTTTGATGACTAATATTCCATGGTATGGATTTTTTAAAGTAAAGCTTTTTGTTTTTTTAGGCATTTAGGTTGCTTCTAACTTGCTTTCACAAATAACATAGCTGAGACTAAATTGGTTACTTTTTTTCTAGTCATTTCCTTAGGATAAATTCCTATAGGTGGAATTCCTGGGTCCAGGGCTATGAACATTTTGAGGGCTTTTGATGTACAAAGACAATATGTTTAGAAGAAATCATAGATATTAGAACAAGAGAACTTTTATGATATTCAGTAAGGCTCTGTCATGTCACAGATGAGGAGAAAAATTCAGAAAGGTAGAGTGACTTGCTCAAAGTTACACAGCTGGTTTGTAATCATCCATTGAACACCAGGCTTATTCTAGGCTTTAAAATTCCTAGTATTCTTGGACCTGACACTGTCAAGATAAAAAAAAAAAGGAGTCTGTTGAAGGTCCTGGAAGTAATTAGCTTATTAATCAAAGCTTTAGAATTTTGAAAGAATTAATCCATCTCTAAAGAACAAGCTATTTTCTTTTCTATATATCAAAGTATGACAAGTAATTATTTGAAACAAAGTATAATCAATACAATAAAATTCTTAGTTTAACCTTTAAAATTTCCAAAGGACAAAATACTATATTGGAACAAAACATCAATACGATTTAGCTACTGAAGTTAGGGGCATTCTCCTTTATTATCTTTCTGGGGTTGAAATGTGTTGTAAGAGCTCCTGAAAGTTTGCACACTGGTTAAAAATTTTGCAGACGCTTATTATGGTTTCAGAAACTTTATAAAGCAGGCTGAAATAGATGCTTCAAGTTTCGGGTTCTGATGGTTGTTTGCTTTGTGAAGGTCTAAAAGAAATAGATTATAATTTGCAGGAGTGATTTATTGAGGGAGTGCTCTCAGGTAGGAAAGAGGTGAGGGGCAAGGGAAGGAGCCATGAAAAGATATGGTCTTAGCTGGTGTCAAGCTTAGCCTGATCCCACGGGAGCTCTGGAGCATGAATTGTACCACAGAGTCTTCCTGCATTTTCTAGGCAGCTTATCCTTCTCTCCTTGGTTGTTGGCAGCCCAGAGGGGCTGGTGTGTAAACTCCCTGTTGGGGCTCCCCTTTTAGTCAAGATCAGTTGTCCAGAGAAGGGGCAGCTATCAGCCCATCAGCAATCGGCCCTCCCAGCAGCTGGGGCATGGGTGCATTCCCAAAGTAGATCTGAACTAGGCTGTTGGTGCCTCCACTATAACAGGCCACAGAGGGGGTTGTGTTTCTTTCATCTGTATTGCCCTGGGTGCTTATTAGTGAGCTCAGAGCAGGAAGTACCATCATCCCAGGTCACAGCCGCTGCACAGCAGGAAACAGTAACTCTGGGAAGAGCTGTCACGGCCGTACATGGAATCCCTCTATGGTGTTTTCCTTTTGGGTTGCTTCCAGAAAGCAACCAAAGAACATCGTTTTTTCTTTTTTTAAGATTTTATTTATTTATTTGAGAGAGAGAATAGGGCGAGAGAGAAAGAGAGAGAGAGAGAGCGGCAGGCAGAGGGAGAAGGAGAAGCAGGCTCCCCGCCGAGCAGGGAACCTGACGCAGGGCTCAATCCCAGGACCCTGGGATCATGACCTGAGCCGAAGGCACACACTTAACTGACTGAGCCACCCAGGTGCCCCAGAACATCGTTTTTTCAATCAGTAGTCTTCCACTTCCGTAACTTTAGTTTCTGATCCCAGGCATGACAAGGTAGAAGTATTTGATGAAAATAGTAAGACCCCCTGCTGTGTCTCATGTACTTGGGAGATTTCCCAACTATTCTCAGATGCTGAGATTTTATAACAGGAAGTGTGTTAAAATATCAAAAGGAGCAAATAGGCTCTTGGCCTGTGTGAAGGGGGCCAAGCTTTAGCAGGGGTGGTTAGCCTCAGTAGGGCTGATGCTCTCGTGGGAGCGGGACTTGGCCTTCTTGGCGATTCACTCATTCTTGGCAGTAAAGAGAATGGTGTCATCAGCTGGGCCCAGGTGTGTTGTGGGAGAGAAATCAATGCAGAGAAGGAGATCAGAAAGTGTGCCGGGCTATTTCAGGTTGAGGCTTAAGGCCGATTGTAGAAGGAGGGGGCAGGTAGGCTCCTGGCCCTGACAATGGGCAAGTGGGTCCCACTGTACCCAGGAGACTGTCTCGTGAAGGGAGTGACTGCTTGAGCCGCACCAGCACTCTGCACTCACACTCTCGGATTTCCCACCTTCTGCGTGCCATGCTCTGGGGAAGAAAAGCAACCCAGGTCCTGGTCCTTGAAAAGCTCCTGGTCTGCTGATCAGGGCAAAAGGGGGACAGATAGAGAGTATTTCTGTGGAATAAGTGCTAAGGGGTGCGGGGGGATGCCCATAAAAGGGGGCACTAAACAGGTCTTTCAAAGGGTGGCTGGACTGCCCCCGTCCCACGGGCCGTCTGTGGGGGTTCCAGAGCACGTGACTCCACATTGCCATGGAAGCCAGGTCCCTCCGAGGGGAAGTCAGGTCCTCTGGGCCCCAGGGCAGTGGGGAAGGGCTGCTCCAGCTGACGCAGGCCGCCGGCAGTGGCATCTTAGAGACCGTCTCTGCTTACCGGCACTTTTAAAGTCAGGTAGCCCACCTAATGCAGGTGTCCTCTTTTCTCTTACAGGGAGAGGTTCTGGAATATGTGGATGACCTCTTGGAGCTGGAGGAGACTGGCTAGTCCGCAGCAGAGAGATGCCCCTCGATGTTCAGGAGACAAAGATTCTTCATCTTCCTTTCCCCAGTAGCCCACGTTGTTGATACCTCAAAGCCTTCTCTTTACTCTGTGAAGTGAAAGGGAAGCCTCAGCTCTCACTACATACAATAAGGGGTGAGCCTGCCTTCCCCGTGACCACACCTGCCTCCCCAGGGTGGGCCCAGGCTCACACCTGTCTCCCTCCCCATCTTCACACCTGCCTTCTCCATGTTCACGCCTGCCTTTCTCACCATTTTGGTTGGAAGGACAGTCTTCCATTTTTTTCCCCCCAGAGAATCACTATTATTTTTTAAATAAGAAAAATACGCCTAAAATTAAGTAATTGTGAAAACTTTGGGTTTTCACTCTTCCAGATTTTAGACTCCTTTATACCCATGCCCTGATCCAGGAAAGATAGTAGAAGACAAAGGCCAAACTTCTCCATGCCCCCGACAGCCTACACATGGTCTGACCTGAACCATTTCCGGCACCCACTGAAAGACAAGTTGGGTAGATAGTGCAGGCTACAGAAATACGGCTTTTGCCCAACACTTCTGCATCTCCAAAGTCTTACAGTGGTTGGTCGGCCCTCCTTGGGGACAACAGTCAGTTATAAGTCTCAAAGTTGGGAATGGAAGAAAGCAGAGAGAGTCTAGTTTCATTTCATTCTTTCAATAAATATTTATTGAGAACCTGCTACATACTAGACATTGCCCTGGGCACTGGAACTACTGCACAGAATGACAGAAAAAAAAAACAAAACACCAAAACCCTGCCTTCTGGAGCCTACATTCTATAAGGAGAGACAGACAGCAAATAAATAAGAATAAATATATACAGACTATCAATAGTGATAATTGCTATGGAGAAAAATAAAGCAGCGAAGTGGGTACGGAAGCCTGGAGATGAGGCTACAGTTTTAAATAGGATGGTCAGGGAAGAAAGACTTCACTGAGAAGGTGACATCAGAAGCATGTCTCAGGGAAAAGCATTCCAGGCAGAGGGAACAGCATATGCCATGCTTTACAGTGAGAACATGCTCGCTGTGGTGAGCGAATAGCAAAGAGGCCAAGAAGAGTGGGCAAAGGGAAGAAAGGAAGGAGATAAAGTGAGGGAGGTGGGAGAGAGGACAGACGGCTTAGGCCAGTGTAAGGCCTTTGGCTTCTACTCTGAGTGGGATGGGAGCCATTGGAAGGTTTGGGCAGAGGAGTGCCTTGGCTGACTGGAGCCCTCCAGCTGCCATATTGTGAGCAGCGGTGGATGCAGGGATACCAGGCAAAGGGAGTGCTGGCTTGAACCTGAGCCGTCGCAATGGAGATGGTGAGAAATGGTCAGACTGTGGGCTTATTTTGAAAGCAGGGCCCGTAGGATTTGGTGACAGATTGGATGTGGAGCATAAGAGAAAGAGGGGTTAACGGTGACCTCAAAGGTTTTTGGCCAGAGTAGCAGGAGGGATGGAGTTGCCATTTACTGAATATCAGGAAGTTGGTTGTGCGTGCTAAGTAAGGAATTTGGTGCAAAGCAGGCTGTCTGAGGCTGGGATGGGAGGTTCAGGCTGCAAATAAAATTTGAGAGCGTTCTCAGATCAGGCCTTCAACAGAGCCTGAAACAGGGATCCAGATGCATGTGGTTTCTTGTGGGGGTACATTCAGAAGAAACTTGTGAAGGCCTCCATCAATCCGTTAGTTATTGACTGTCCTGTAGGGGGCAGGGGTGTACCTTTGAAGGCAAGTAGCTCGGTCAGCTGAGGGCCGTTCTCTGAAAGGAGGACTGTGACCACCGGGAGTGGATGGGGGCCGGGGGTGCGGATGTGGGTCTTGGCTCTGTGAAGGGTGTCTGGGAGGAACATCAACCCTCCCCCCCTGCTGAATCATCAGCACGTACATGGTATATAAACCCAGGAGCCTGGATGGGGTCACCTAGACTGCATGCATGTATTGAGAAACGAGAAAAGGGCCGAGGACAGAGCTCTGAGGCTCTCTGGGAAATGAGAAACCTGCCAAAGAGACTGAGAAGGAGCTACCTTTGAGGTTGGAGAAACCCAGGAAAGTGGCGTTTTGGAATCTGAGTTTTCTTTTTTCAACGTTATTCCCTCCAACAAGCCGCTTAGTCGAGTTGGGACTCGGGGATGGAGGCTGGAGGAGGCTGGCTCAGCATTTGGGAGACAGGACTTTTCTTACAGTGGCGTGGAGTGAAGGGAGCTAGAAATTGGGGTCTTTAATGTAATGGTGAATAACTGGAGGTGGGAAACTCCTATATTTTCCCCTACGCCCCATCTCGCTATTCCACGCTCTGGGAACACAGATGGGCCCTTCTGTTCCTCCTTCTGCACTATTCTGCTTCCCTCATCCCTTTCTCCTGAGAGCACTTCCTCCTTTACCTGCACAAGAATCCTCCTGCCAGGTCCTCCTCCTGGGGCACTCAACTCAAGACAATAAGCTGCTGCTTGCTTACTCTCTTTGGCTGGACTTGGCCTGCCTACAGAGCCTACACTCCCGGGGCTGTGTGGCCAAGGAGTCCGTGTGGCTGGCATTGTGATGGCCACGCTGGTGTCCCCAGTGGCCCCCAGTCAGGGCACCCTCCAGCTCAGCAACGAGTCGGATGCTACTGCCTTCCGCCCCTGCAACACTGGGTCCTCCTTCCTCCCTTACCCTGCCCCCCGCTCCACCAGACAAACTTCCTTTTGAAGCCAGTGGGGAGGAGAGTCATAGGGCAGGACTCTAAAGTAGAGGGGACCCCAGGATGCCTGGCAGCCAGTTGTACCTGGCAACTCCCTGGGGAGCTTGTGGCTGCAGCTGTCCTTCCCAGCTGTGCGAGAACAGCCAAGGACACCACCACGGGGACCAGCTGGGTGGGGTGGTCTCACGCACTCCACCTCTGTGTGCCCTGCAGGGCTTCCATTTTGCCCTCTTCCTTGAGCCTGGGCTGAGCTGAGCTCTTTGTGGATGATGTTGTTCCACACAGGGTTGAGTGGTGGTGGTGGTGGCAGGGGTCCTCGTTCACTCTCTGAACTTGGCCCCTCTTTATGGGGGGTTGAAAAGCACCTCCACCCCCATCCTAGCGATACCCCTGAGGACGAAGCGCTGGGAGAAGGCTGGTCGGCATTGTCAGCACTTTGCTCTTTGATTGAAGGCTGTGGAACCCGGTTCCTGATCTTTTTATTCCAAAGGAAACCAAACCAATCTTAAAAAAAAAAAGAGGTGGGCCGATTCCTCCACACCTACTATGAAACCCAGTACGCAGGCTGCACCCAGCGACCTCAACCCAGCACCTTGCTGAGCGTGTTTCTTGGAAGAGCCTGGAAGATTCCTGGATTGAGACTGCATGGGTTCAGCATGAGTTGGGCCTGTCTTTTGAAAAAACAAACACATTTGTAAGCTTTGTGGGAGTTCCCAGACCCAGGCTTGCTTATCCTCTGACCCATCTGCATGGAACCCAGCTGGGAGGCACGGGGACGGGGTGATCTGTCCAGCCACCTTGTCCCCCGGGCAGCCCAGGGAGGGGGCACCCACTGTGGCCCCGTTAATATTCAGTCTCTACACTAGTGGTGGAGAGCTGAGGGGAAGCTTGTGTGGACGCGGGTTTAAAAGGGACTAATTGAAATGTCTCACATACCAACATGTTCAGTGTGCCGGGACCTCTGAATTTGGAGCCTTTCTAATGACGGCCACTAACCTGTTGTGCACACCTCTGGGACCTGGGAGAGCCACGAGGTCCGTTGGCCACGAAGGCCGCCTTGGGAAATGCTGCTTTTAGGAGTTCTTACTAAGGGAATTTTAAGAGCACAAACATTTTATTGAACCAAACTCGGTGGCAAACAGAAAATGATCTGTTAGATTGTCAATGGGGAAGGGTTTATTATGACTGCTGGTGGGATAAACAGCCACCGGTTCCTGCCAACATTTATGGAAATAATGTTTTTAAGTTTTGAATGTGAGCTATAAACCTAAGCTACTTCAGTTTTTTTTTTTTTTTTTAATTCAATACTGAAACTGTGGGGGAAAGGTGGGTTGGTGCCAGAGAAAACATTCTCATTTAATAGTGTTTGCACATGGAACTGCAACCCAGTTTGTAGCGAGGCCCTGAGAAAAACCCACAACTAATCCTTCATCACAGCTGTCTGCGCTCTTGATCATCTGCCATCCCCTGAACAGCGACTTCTTTTTTCTGGTGACTGCAGGCTTGAATGACCTAGTGTGGAGAGTTTAAACTATATACAAGGGGGGGAAAAGGGAAAGGAACCTCAAACAAGCCTCAGCCAAAGGTTTTGTGCATAGGACTTCCTGTGCCTGCAGCCAGGGTTAGGGCCGTCCCCCACCCCGTCAGTCCCCGTAGCGTGTCCCCGACAGGGAAGACACCGGGACAGCCCAGCTTCGCCTTGACTGACCCACTTCTGTCCCTGAAACCAGTCAGGAGCACTGTGGTTTGTGCCCCACAGTAGGGCCCCTCTCCCCCTGGGGCAGGCGTGGGAGCAGCCTGACCCCCCAGCCCCTCTCACTGCCCACTCTGGGGCCTCCCCCCAGATACCTGGCTTTGGCGGCTTGTTGAATGAACAGGTTGGCTCACTATTCTCTCGGAGCCGACAGGGTAAGATACTGGTGCCTCATTTTGTAAGAAAATAAGAAGGAAGTAAGCAATTTGGCCAACAGATACAAGATGGACGGGTTTTCAGGCCTACTTGAAGGTGGCAATCAGGAGGCCAGACTACAAACATTGTTGCCAGTGTCTCTCTCCCCTCTCTTCCCTTGGCCAGGGCCTTCCTTGCAACCCCATTCTTACAGGAAATTAGAACTTGGAAAGTCATTGAAAACAAAGGTTTTTTTTTTTTTTTTTTTAAGGAAAATCACATTAAATGTTTTATTTTGCTTATGTTCTACTGTTTATCTACTGGGTGGGACTGAGCCACACCCCGTCATTCGAGGATGCGTGTTGTAATGAGCTCTGTTTCCTCAGGTCCCTGAGATTTCTTTTTTTTTTTTTTTTGGTCCCTGAGATTTCTGACGGTCGTCTAGCAAAGCAGAACACTTACCCCAAGGACTCTAGGATCTTACTCAGAGGAGGGGATCCATGCTAGCCTCGCAGGCCGAGGGCCTCTTCAGGAGACAGGGGCTCATTCCTCTTCCCAGGAAGGTTCTCTTTTAGAGGAAATCTAAACATTTGGGATCCAGGGCTTGCTTTTGATCTAAAGAGCTGGTCCCTTGCTGCCAATATCGGAGAAGTGATAAAATATGTACCATTTCAAACAAGGACCAAAACACCTTCAGGTATGACCGCTAACAGCTTCCGCGCTCCATGCATGTCAGTAAAGGGCAAGAAAGGAGACGAAGAGCGGAGGAAGCAGGTGCAAAGAGTGAGGGACCAGCCGGGACAGTAGCGGAGACAGGGCATGGAGTGTTCAAACAGTAGCCATGTGAAGGCGGGTGGGGGGGACATGGGCGTTTTGTTGGAGTTGGCCCAAGAATCCACAAGATACAGGGGAGAAGTATGGATTGAGGAGGAGGAGAGATGCAGGGAACCAGAGCTTGGGAAGCCTTGTGTGGGATGGAAGGCTCTGAAGTGGGGTGTGAGGGAAACCAGCCTTAGGCTGATCACATGGGAGGTCAGGAACACGAGTGATAACAAGGGTTAGCCCTGCTGCAGGCAGGGAGGCAGGCCTCAGGTATGCCCGTGCCCCTCCGAGCTGCAGGCTGCCCTGGGGGTGATGCGGTGGGTCTGACTCCTTGGGAGGAACTCCCATCAGGCCGAAGGCAGTCCTCTGGAGGAGAAGGCGTTTTTGAGCATTTTAGCAGCCAACATTCAGGGCAGCTGGAGGATGGGTTCACCTACAGAGTGAAGGGGATCTGGGCGAGGCACAACAGTGTCCGTGACACTGAAGAACCTGGGAGGCATGCCTGCCTGGCCTCCTGGAGGTTGCAGAAGTAAAAGGGGACGTAAGGCAGATGGGATTGGTGCTGATGTTCTCTGAGCTGCATCTCTCCATTTGTCTCTCCAGATCTCTTTCTCAGCCTGCCCTGCGCCCCAGGGTCCTGACCCTTATGGTTGACATTGCCTGGGCTCCCTCACCCTCTGACTTTGGGTTGCCACTGGGACACGCTGCCAAGATTTTGCAGGGTGAACCTTGCTTCCTTCAGGCCACCGTTGGACAGCGGGGCTGTGCTCTCCTTGAGGCTAGAGGTTTTGTCCCGGAGAGCCATTCCTGTCACCGAGCTCTCCTCCGGTCCCCTGAGAGCCCTCCAGCACCCCTGGATGTTTCTCTTAACCCTGCCCATGCTTTTATGACTGGTCTCTACATCTAACTCTCTTGAATCGTCCCTCCGAGTGTCCAGTCAGGAGAAGGAGGGCAATCAGCTCTGGGCTCTCAGCCCTGCACACCCCTGCACACCCATCAGCTATGCACCCTGTTAAATGCGGAGTCCGAATCAGCGCGTCTGGGGTGGGCCTGGGATTCTGTATTTGTAGCAAGCTTCCAAGTGGTGCTTGTGCTGCTGGCCCGGGAACCACACTGAGCACGGATCCTGGGCTTCGTCGTAGTGAAGGGTCGGGTCTCCGGGTGAGGTGAGGAAGAGGAAGGGAGGCAGGAGGAGGGGCGGGGCTGTGCAGATGTCCCTGAAATCCTGCTGCAAGAGGTAACAAGGCAGAGACTCCAAGGTCTTAGAGCAAATATGAAGACACAATTTTCAAGTTTTAAACCATCATGATGTAACCCAGATATAAAATACATTTGGCAACCGTTTAGGGGAAATATTTATTTTAAAGATCTCAGAAGCTTTGTGTTGATGGACCATCCGACCCTCAATTTTCATGAACGTGTCTCAAGACATGCATGATGACATATAATTTAGGTTTACAAATGTTTTCATCATTCCCTTTCCATACGCATTTTTAGATCCTGTAACATTAATTTATTTTTTTCAAAGATTTTATTTATTTGACAGAGAGATAGCGAGAGCAGGAACACAAGCAGGGGGAGTGGGAGAGAGAGAAGCAGGATCCTCGCGGAGCAAGGAGACCGACGTGGGGCTCGATCCCAGGACCATGATCTGAGCCAAAGGCAGATGCATAACGACTAAGCCACCCTGGTGCCCCTCTAACATTAATTTAGATGACAACAAATCAATAAAAACTTAAAAACTGATGTGTTGGGTTTGTTTTCATGTAGTTCATATCTATAAAATAATACATTTGCATGTATTAATGTATCTGTAATGAATTTATTACTATATTCATATTACCATTACCTATTTTTGTGTTGGTATTAAGTTAGTGTTCTTGGGTTATTACATAATAATAGTCGAATAACACAATCCCAACGTTGAGATGGGGGTTATTTTATATAGTTAATAATAGAAAAGTAATCTTGTCATAGATTAGAAAAGAATCTAATTTATAAATATATACAGTCTCTGATGTCTATTCTGTCGTGTTTTGCTTTGGCTACATGCAGAAAGTCTTTCAGTCCTATTCTAGATTTCATCTGACACAGAAGTGTTCCATCCCATAGCTTCAGGCCTTCATTTCATCCAGTAATGGGGACTAGGGTCTTTGATTTTGCTGCATTGCCTTTAGAGCTACTTAGCCGATTATTTTTCCAAAGCTTGCATCGGAAAGAGGTGGCAGGGTGGAAAACATGTTATGCAAATTCCTTTTTCCTTAGGTCAAGGACCACCACCAACTTTTCAATTGTAAAGATCAGGATTTCTCTCATGCCCCATAAAAGCACATAGACACTTAGTGTCCCAGAATCAATGTCTAGGCTTCATCACTTTTTACCACTGAAGACTATTTCTAAGAAGGTGACTCACACTGTAAAAATATAATGTGTTTCGTTTCTGTGCGGATGCGCAGGAGCCCACCGGAGATGGCAGGGTCAAATGCTGCCCCCGGGGCACGTGGCAATGCCTGGCTTCCAGGCGAGGCAAGCCGTGGGTGTCACCTTCTGGGCCGCTAGAGCCTCAGCGGCTCAAAGCTCACAATTCATGACAGAGCAATGGTTCTCAAGCTTGAGTGTGCTTCAGAATCACCTGGAGGGCTCCGCACAGCACAGATGGCTCAGCCCCGCCCCCACAGCTTCGGCTTCAAGCTGAGTTGATACAGCTCGTCTGGGGACTATGCTCTGAGAACCACTGTCGTAAACGTGCTGAGCCATCCTAAGATGATCCAGATACTAGAAAATGGGTTGCTCAGTAGCCAGGAGGAGTCCATCCTGGGCTCATGATGTTTCCACGGAGCTCCCAGTTGCCACAACAGAGTACAGAGGAGGTCAGCCCAGAGCATTTCGTATTCCTTTTTAATTCCTCTGCTTTCCCATTGAATAGGTACCCATACTTGATATCCTAGTCCTCTTAAAACATTGTTTTCCTCCCATGTCATTCCCTTCTACTTGGGTTCAGAGAAATGGTTAATCCTGAGAGAGGAAACCAAGAACTGAGTTTTGTTAGTTCAGCGAAAAATTCTAGGACATTCCTAGGCACAGGCTGGTCAAGGACAACAAGGACACTGCTTCCAAGAAGAAATGACGCTTGCTAGTGCAAAACTAACCGTTTTTTAATTTTTTTCTTTTCTTTTTTAAAACATTTATTTATTCATTTGGGAGATAGAGAGAGCATGTGCTTATTTACTCATGTGAGAGGGAGAGAGAGAAAAATCATCAAGCAGACCCCCTGCTGAGCATGGAACCCGATGTAGGGCTTGATCCCAGGATCCAGAGATCATGACCTGAGCCGAAATCAAGAGTCAGATGCTTAATTGACAGAGCCACCCAGATGTCCCCAAAACTAATTGCATGTTTTTTAAAAAAACAATGGTCTGTCCTACAAAATGGAGGGAACAAAGGTGGATGTGTCTTGCTACTCCTCACATCCCTCCCCAACCCAACAAAGCATCAGTCCTAAACTCTCTCAGATTTCTTTTTTTTTTTTCTCCCTCCAATTTCAACAAACAATTAAAAAGAAACCAAAAGCTTCTAGACTATGTCCTGGTTCTTGGCTCATTTGCCTTCACAATGTCACTACATTAAAAGGAAATAACCCATTACTTTTCTATGTCCCACCCCCAACAATTAAATATCTCTATCCTAAATAACACTGCTCTCAAGTGCTCAGTTTATCATACTTTTTCTAAAAACTTCAGGTCATGGAGTTACTCATTTTTTTTTCTTAAAACAAGGGAATGGAGACAAGAGCATGATGAAGTGAGAGGTGAATTTTGACCTCATACTGGAATTAGGGCCTGAGCACAGGTCTGGGATCAGTGCAGTACATTCCAGGGCAGTTGGTTAAGGAGATATTGATGCGTGTGATGATGCCACCAAAGCCTTTTTGTCCTACCAGGTGCCTCCAGAGCCACTTCTCGGCCTGTAGAACAAAGACCCGAGAAAAAGAGAGACGAGCCCTACTCCACCTGTTTCATGCTCTAGTGAATTATCAGTGTTTATCAATGAGACATGGCAGTTTCTTCTCCTCCTAAGTGGCTTTGGGAGAGCCAGCTCTGAGGGTGGCTAGACCTTCTCCATCTCAATCTGCTGGTGGTAGTGCCGCGCCTGCCGCTGCCCAGCATTCAGCTTGTACACGGAGCTCTTGTGCTGGCACTTGCGGTGGCCCCACACTGCCCCCACGCCTGCCAGGAGCACCAGCAGACACAGGACAGTGACAGTGGTGGCAATGACAGGGCCTCCGCTGAGGCCGGGACACCCATCCCCTATACATGGCTCCACACTTGGAAGAAGCTCCTTACCTGTACCTGGGTCAGGGCTTTCCTGTCCCAAGAATTCCTCAGACAGCAGGTATGGGAAACTATCCTGGACCTCAGTAGCAATGGTTTCCCCTGGAGTCTGGCTGGCCGCCATGATAGTTGAGGGAATGCGATTCGGCATCTGCTGGACAGCAGTTGTCACTGTCCCCAGGGTAGAGCTGGTGAGTTCATAGGGTAGGGTGGCCATGGGAGATGACTCTGTGGCAAAGCTCCAGGGAACAGTTGACTGGTACCTGGTCAAGTCACCATCTCCCTTGCTGGGACTCTCAGTTTCAGACACATTCACTGGTCTGAGAGCCAAAGCTTCTACGTCTGGTGTTTGAGAGGGAAGAACTGAACTACGGGTCATGTCGTCACTTGGTGTGAGGGTGGTACTCCCAGGCTTCTTAATTTCTACAGGAATGGGCTGATTAGGACTAACGGGAACCCTCTCTTCCAGCCCTACTGACCCATCTCCCTTGTCCCCATCTTCCTCCTCTTCTGCCTCTGTCTTCCTCCAAGCCCCATCAGTCACAGGGTAGCCATCTAACCAGGACTCATCACTGCTGCTCACCATTGGGTCCCCTGTCTTGCTGTCAGTCCTGCCCAAGAATGGCCCCAAAGGACCATGAGTGCTGCTATAGATCACCTCAGCTTCAGGTTTACCTGGAGCTGGTGTTGGGCTACTATGGTTGTCTCTAGCCGGAAACTGCTTTTTGGTGCCATCATTCATCTCCTTCTCCAGCTCAGGCTTGTGGAAGTTCTCAGCAGGAAACCAGAACAAGTACTTCTGGTTTAGCTGGGATCCTGGCAGGTCTGTGGGGACACTGCTTCCCGTGATGGACAAGCCTGTAGTTGGCACAAAGGCTGTATCCTGGGCTATGTTTTCTCTCCCCACAGAAATGGAGACCAGACGGTCCTGTCTCGGAGCCTCCTCAGAGGCCTCTCCCAGACCTCTGTCCTCCTCTGCCCCTGTCCGCGAGTCCTCCATGAGCTCTCTGAATGACACGGATCTGTCATCCGGGAAATTATCCTCATAGTCAATATGTGCCTCAGCTGCATCTGGAAGGGGAGAAAGAAAAACCCCATTAGGTCCAAGGTCACAGAGCCAGCAGCGTAGAACACAAGAAAAGGAAGTAAGAAGCATAAGGACTGGAGCAGACGAAGTAAAGCTGTCATTCACAGATGACATGACTGCGCATCACAGACAAATCCAAAGAATGTACATATAAACTGCTACAATTAATATATGGGTTTATCAAGGACACTGGGTCTATGTCAATGTAAAATATCAACTATATTTCTATATATCAGCAATATACAGAAACAAAAATTTTAAAAGACACCATTTGCCATAGCATTAAAAAAATCAAACACCTAGGAATAAAGCTAACAAAAGATGTGCAAGATTTGAACATGGAGTGGTACAGAATATTGCCAAGCAAAATTAAAGACCTCAGTAAATGAAGGGATATACCATGATCATGTAATGGAAGGCTCAGAATTGTTAAGCTGTCAACTCTGTCCAAATTGATCTACACAGATTTAATACAACCCTAATAAAAATCTCAGGCATTGACAAGCTGATGCAAAAATTTATGGAAATGCAAAGAACCAAGAAGATTTCTTGAAATCTACAAAATTTCAAGATTTACTCTAAAACTGGAGTACTTTTTAAGACTGTGGTATGGGCGGGGTGCCTGGGGGGCTCAGTTGTTAAGCGTCTGCCTTCGGCTCAGGTCATGATCCCAGGGTCCTGGGATCAAGCCCCGCATCGGGCTCCCTGCTCGGCGGGAAGCCTGCTTCTCCCTCTCCCACTCCCCCTGCTTGTGTTCCCTCTCTCGCTGTGTCCCTCTCTGTCAAATAAATAAATAAACTCTTTAAAAAAAAAAAAGACTGTGGTATTGGCACAAGGACAGATAACTGGATTACATTAACTATAGGAACTTGTGTTTATCAAAAGCCACCATGAAGGGAGTTAAAATGCAAGCCACAGACTTGAAGATATTTGTGACACATACAATCTCCAAAAGAGTCCTATCCAGAATTCATAAGGAACTCCTACAAATCAATACTAAATAGGCAGACAAGCCATAGAAAAGTTGGCAAAGATACTTGAACTGACACATCACAAAAAAGACATCTAAGTAGTCATTAAACATGTGTACAGATGCTCAACCTCACTCGTAATAGAGATATGCTAATTACAGCCATAAAAATATGCCATTCCATAGCACCACAATGCCTAAAAGTAAGCAGACTGACAATATCTAGTGTAAACCGATGATATCTAGTGTTTGGGCACCAAAGGACATGCACATGAATGTTCGTAACAGCCAAAACCTGGAAACGATTCAAATGTCCCTAAACCACAGAGCTGATATAAACCATAGCATATTTGTACAAGGAAAATCTGTACATCAATGAAAAGGAGCCAACTATTACTTCTGAGGGACATAGATGAATCACACAGCCATAATCTTGAGGAAAAGAAGCCAGACACAAAAGAACACACTTTGTGTGATTCTATTTACATAAAATGCAAAAATAGGCAAAGCTAATCTATGATGTTAAAAGTCAGGTTGGTGGCTGGAGAGAAGGGGTGATGACTAAGTCTGGGCACAAGCACGGCTTTGGGGATTCTGGCAACATTCTACTTGGCTGTGTGGTGGCTAATTTCTTTGTTTCTTTTCTGATAATTAATCAATCTGTCCCCTTATAATGTGTATGTATGTTAAGTAAAAACGTATCTTTTAAAATCCTGATTTGCTCTTTGTAAGACTGCTTGAGGCCGTGCTGTGAAATATTCTAAATCCAGCCAAGTAAGAATGAACAAAGGGCCCCGCAGTTAGGAGACCAGAATGTAAGGACAGCAGGTCAGGAAGGCTCAAGGAGCTGCGTCCTCAGAAGACAGCAGCCCGCTGGGCTTTCCCCATTCTCAGTGGTCTTTGAAAGTCAAGTCCTACTGGAAGTCATACTTAGTTATTAAAACAGAAAGACTCCCTATGACATTGCAATATAATAAGAAGTATATGTTTAGTCTTTGCCCCTGGTTCCTGGCACAGAGCTCCTAAAACCCTTGGAATTACCTAAGCAATGGGGGTGATAAGAACATCTTTTGTTATTCATAACAAGCTCCTTTCAGCCTTACCTGAATTTATGCTAATGAGGTGACCCCTAGATGGCTTCTGGTCAAGTGATCAGAGGGTTGGAACTTGCAGCCCTAGCCCCTGACCTGTGAGGAGGGGGAAGGGGGCTGCAGATGGAGTCCATCATCAATGGCCATGATTGAATCAATCACGCCTAAATAATGAAACCTCCAAAAAACCCCTGAACTACAGGGTGCAAAGAGCTTCTAGGTTGGTGATTGCATCCATGTGCTGGGAGGCTAGCTCACCCCAATTTCACGGGGACAGAAGCTCCTGTACTCAGGATCCTTCCAAACTTTGCCTTTTATATCTCTACATCTGGTTGTTCATCTGTATTCTTTAAAATATCCTCTAAAATAATTGGTAAATATAAGTAAAGTGCTTTCCTGAGTTCTGTGAGCCTTTCTAGCAAATTACTGAGCCTGAGAGGATGATCATGAGAAGGCTCAGGACGGAGGATTGGCGTAATTGGTTGTTGGTGTGAGAAGTGTTCTGTGGCAAGAAATAGATCTTAGTAGTGTTCCCCCACTTCAGTTTGCAACTTGGAAAGCATAAATGCAAAGAGCTCCAGAACCAAGTTCTAGATAGAGCGCTGAGCTGTCATGTGGTGCATTCCTGGGCTCTGAAACTGGATTAGAGGGCATTTGGCTTATTTCTTACAAGACTCCTTATTTTGCTTCCTTAATGCGAGTTATAAATAAATTTAAACATCCTTTCTGATCTGCTCCTAAAATTTAAGTGCATTCACTTCATTTGTGTCTTCAGTCAAAAATGCAAAGGGGCGCCTGGGTGGCTCAGTCGGTAGAGCACGTGACTCTTGATCTCAGGGTTTTGAGTTCGAACCCCACTTTGGGTATAGAGATTACTTAAAAATAAAATAAGGAAGGAAGGAAGGAGGAAAGAAAGAAAAAGACAGTCTAGTAATTATTTCAGAAGACCCATCTACCCCATGATGTCCTGTTCACAATCCCCAGACAAAAGCCACATCAATGGCGGGACCATGCTTAGGAGGATCCCAGAATTCCAACACAGGGCAGGCTGGCCCCCTACATGCTCTTTGCTGTCATAATGCCTCACGCTCCGCTGTACCTCCATTCCAAGTACTGCAGTCACCGGCGCCGACATTCAACAAACTTCCCTGAGTGCCCACTGTCTGACGCTGCGAAGGCTCCGGGTCACTGGTGAACAGGACAAGCAGTCCCAACCCTCATGGAGCATAGGGGATGGAATTCCATGGTCCTGAGACCTACCAGGTTGAATCGCAAAGCTTTTGTATGCACAAATTCTCACCCATCCTGCTGAATAAAGACTAGGTTTTGCATTCAAGTACCATCTTTTCTTAAAAACACAACAAAATGAAACAAAAGCCACTACGACACAACTTTTCTCTAAAATTTACCCAAACAAGTCATACTGAATCCAGCTGGCCATTTAAGAAGGCCATGACTTAAATCTCTGACCTTAATGCGGTTACACTGCTTGAACGTGTGTGTCCTGACTGACTGCGGTAGGGTGATCACAAAAATGTCCACGATTCTCCACTCTTCCCTGCACTGTGATTGTGTAACTCTTCCCTTCAAGAAGTGGTGTCTCTTTTTCCAGCTCTCAAATTGGGACTGGCCTGTTGCTTGCTCTGACCCACAGAATTCAGTGAAAGCCTTGCATGCTCTCTCTCTCTCTCTCTGCACCTCCAGCTGCCATGCGAACAAGCCTCGGACAGCCTACTGAGGGGTGAGAGGCCATGTGGAGGAGAGGCCAACTGTTCCAACTGAAGCCATCTTAAACCAGTCAGCTCCATCAACCTGCGAGCTGACCACATTCACCTGACTGACCCAGCCAAGCCCAGAAGAAGAAGAATGAGCCGGTTAAGCCCAGCCCAAACTGCTTACACAGAAAATTGCACCCAAATAAATGAGTGTTCTTTAAGCCATTACCTTTTTTTTTTTAAGATTTTATTTATTTATTTGACAGAAACACAGCGAGAGTGGGAACACAAGCAGGGGGAGTGGGAGAGGGAGAAGCAGGCTTCCCACCAAGCAGGGAGCCCGATGCGGGGCTCGATCCCAGGACCCTGGGATCATGACCTGAGCCAAAGGCAGACGCTTAACCGACTGAGCCACCCAGGCGCCCCAAGCCATTACATTTTGGGGGGTGGTTTATTATGTAGAAAAAACTGACATACTGGCCATGAGTTGGCTTGAGGACAGAGACCAAGTCACTGTATCCCTAGAGCAGAATGGTGCCCAAACTGTTATAGGTGTTCTTATAGGTATTCTTGAATGAGTGAAAGATAACTGGCACTGGGAGAAACAGGAAGGAATATCTACTTAGCTCCCCAGTTTCTCCTGATACCTGCCTCATAACGGCTCAAACCTAAGGTCTAGTGCCAGGAACACAGTGCTCCAAACACAAGACGACTTTGGGCTCGTTTCCTATCTCTGAGGAATTAATGACATATAACCATAGTATCTTATAACACCTCTGAAAGATACCACCACTGAAGTACTACTTGAATACAGACATATACATGGGAGTGCAACACACACATACACACTCACCTTTCACACACAGGTGAGCAAATCAGTGCGCAGCCTGGCCCATGAGAACACCTAGTCTCCTCCCAGCCTTTCCTTGGTGCTCCTGTACCTACCATCATAAAAGGACGCCCCAGGAGAACTCCCTCCCCACTGCTAGCAGATTCATCTTCATGAGGCAGGGAAGTGAGCCATGTCAACCCAAGTTTAGTCCTAATGCAAAGAAACTTGGCATTTCACACATCTGACAGGTCATTTTTGCCTCAGATCTGCTGTATCCAACCTGTTTTTTGTTTTAAAAAAACGGAATGTGGGGCCCCTGGGTGGCTCAGTCGTTAAGCAGCTGCCTTCAGCTCAGGTCATGATCCCAGGGTCCTGG